GAATTTTATAAAGCATCTCTGAGCTTTCTTTTTTAATGGATTTAATATTTATAGACATATAATATTTATATATATTAATGGGGTACCATGCACTAGGTTGAAATACTTCTGTGCTCTTTCTAGAGATTAAAGATGGGGGAGTAGCTAGGCATAGGCTTGATCTATTGCCCTTTACATTTATATAGCATGCTCATGTGCACTATATGAATTACTTCCACATACATAATTTCATCTGATTCTCATATATATCTGTAAATCATGAATTGTTCTTGTATTTCAACTGAAAAATGTATGACTCTTAGAGATTAAGTGGGTTGTCAAGGAGGTAAAAGATCTCTACAATGAAAATTATAGAACACTGATGAAGAAATTAAAGAAGAAAGTAGAGTATGGAAAGACATCCTTGTTCTTGGATAGATAGAAGTAATATAGTTAAAATGGCCTTATTACCAAAAGCAATATACAGATTTAATACAATCACCATCAATACACCAATGACATTCTTCACAGAACTGGGAGAAACAGACCTAAAATTCATGTGAAAGAGTAAAAAACCCAGAATAGCCAAAGCAATTGTATAAGCCAAAAAAGTAATGCTGGTAGCATCACAATATTTAACCTCAAATTATACTACAGAGATCATACTGGCATAAAAATAGATATATAGGGCTGGGGATGTGGCTCAAGCGGTAACTCGCTCACCTGGCATGCGTGGGGCGCTGGGTTTGATCCTCAGCGCCACATAAAAATAAATAAAGATGTTGTGTCCACTGAAAACTGAAAAATAAATATTAAAAGATTCTCTCTCTCTCCTCCCTCCCTCCCTCCTCCCCCTTTAAAAAAATAGACATATAGACAAACTGAACAGGATAGAAGACCGAAGTGTAGACGCACACAAATATAGTTATCTGTTCCTTGAAAAATGTGCCAAAAACATGTTGGAGAAAAGACAACATTTTCAACAAATAGTTCTGGGGAAACTAGTTATCCATATATAGAAGAATGAAACTAGATCCGTATTTCTCACTGCACAAAAGTTAACTAATTTAAAATGGATCAAATATCTAGGAATTAGACCAGAGACTTGGAAACTCCTTGAAATAAATGAAGGGTTAACACTCCAATATATAGGTTCAGGCAATAACTTCCTAAAGTTCAGGAAATAATACCAAGAATTAGTAAATACATAAAATTTAAAAAAAACTACACAGTAAAGGAAGCAATTAAAAATATGAAGAGAGAACCTATAGAATGGTAGAAAATCTTTGCTATCTATTCTTCTAATGGAAGGCAAATATTCAGAATATATAAGTAACTCAAAAAACTTGCCATCAAAAAATAATTGAATCAATAAATAGGGAAATGAACTAAACAGACACTTCTCAAAAGAATACATAAAAATGGCTAACAAATTTATGAAAAAAAATGTTCAACATCTTTAGCAATTAGGAAAATACAAATCAAAACTGCACAGATTTTCTCTCACTCCAGTTAGAATGCCAGTCATCAAGAATACAAACAATAGTAAATGCTGGAGATGTTGTGGGGAAAAAGGAACACTTTTACACTATTGTTGGAGTTGTAAATTAATGCAACCACTATGGAAATCAGTATGGAGTTTTCTCAAAAGACTAGGATTGCAACCACCATATGACCCAGGTATTCCACTCCTTCGTATTTATCCTAAAGAATTAAAATCAGCATATTATAGTGACACATGCATACCCATGTTTATAGCAACATAATTCACAGTTGACAAATGGAACTATCCTAGGTGTCTATCAAAAGATGAATGGATAAAGAAAATGTGGTAAGCATACACAATGGAGTTATAAAGAAGAATGCAATTGTCATTTGCAGGAAAATGAATGGCACTTGAGAGCTCTAAGTTATTAAAATGAAGTAAGCCAGATTCAGAAAGTCAAGTCAATGTTTTATCTTGTATGTGGAAGCTAGAGAGGAAAAAGGAAAAGAAAGGTAGGAGGTTGGGTTCTCATGAAAATATAAGGGAAACTAATAGAGGAAAGAGACCTTTGTGAGAGAAGAGGGGAGGGAAAGGAGAAATATCAGGGAATGATATTGACCAAAGTTTGTTGCTATATCATGTGCATGTATGAATAAGTAAAAATAAATATCATTATTATGTATCATTTTAATATACCAATAAAAATATGGAAAGATTAAGAAAAGGTGGGTTGTATGTCCATCAGCTTTTTGTCACTATGACCAAAATACATGACAATAACAACTTAGAGGAGGAAAAGTTGATTTTAGGTTCACAGTTTCAGAAGTTTAGTCTTTGGTCAGTATACTCCATTATTCTGGGCCTGAGATAAGGCAGAACATCATGGTGAAAGGGCATGGTGAGGGGGAGAGGGAGAGAAGGAAAGAGAAATAAGCCAGAGATTAATAATCCCGAAGGGCACAACCCTAGTGACCTACTTCCTCCAGCCATGTCCCACCTGCCTACCACCCAGGAATCCATTAAAATTAGTATTCCATCAAATAGGTTAATCTTCTGATTAAGTTATAGCTTTTATTTCTAATCATTTAACCTCTGAGCATTAATTGCCTCTGGTTCCACTGTTAACTGGTGACGTGATAGACTGGAGTTGATATTACTGCAATAATGCCACACAGCCTTATGAATATTTTTAGATCATTTATATTTTTTACAAAATTTTGAATGACTCATGGATTCCTTTTTGTTTTCCCTTTAAAAAACCCCGAACAGGGTGATATGGCTGCTAGTTACTCTAATATTTAGTTTCATACAGGTAGGGTAGTTTGATTCCTATTTTTTTTAGTGAAAAAATGGAATCAATAAATGACTAGAATTTCATTCAATTTTAAGAACAAACAGCAGAAGAATTCTACATTTAAGAGAAAACATCCTTAGGAGTGTGATAATATACCCATCCATTTGAATATACAGTGACCATTACTCTTATCTGGTTGATTAGAGAAATAAAACAAGCAGGTAAACACATGTGGAAAGGTAGGTCTTCAAGTGAGAAGAGATGGGGATTATTTTATACAATTAAAAAATGTCTTCTTTCTTGGAAGGGAAGGAGAAAACTGAAAGGCTAGCCAACCTGGGAGAGGAGGACCACAGTCTGGCTTCCCACAGACAGTGCAGTTGTTACTTTTGAAATTCAAACTCTCCCTTAGAGTTAGTGTTTAAAGGGCAATGGATGAACTTAAAAACAACTTTGGTTAAAAACAAGTGGTGATTCAGTTTAAATTCTGAACAGAATTCAACTTCAACTCTTTGGAGACCAAACTTAGGCTGTGAGACAATTTGGATATATTAGAAACCTGATCAATGTCTCCAGTCTTTACCAAAAGAGAAAAGTTTGAGTTCAACTCTGTTTACTTCATTCTATCCCTAGGCAAAAGCAAGGGTTGGGGACAAAAAAAAAAAAAAGGAAAGTTGTGTTAGATCTTTATGGCAAATAAAAGTTCAAACAGGTTTGAAAGGTTTTTATAAAAGCTTAGATTCTGTTCTGTTTATCAAGATCTTGAAAAATATTTGCCTTTTTGTTAATACCTTAAGAAATTAAAATATAGAATGATATTCAGAATCTGTCAGGGGAAAAATGTAGTGGGTAGAAATTTCCTTTGACCTTCCATATCATACAATTATATATTATATAGTTAACCGTATATACAATCATGACCACTCAACATAAAAACACCTCTTGAAAGCCTATATTCATCCAGACACAAAGATAAAATAGGGCTAAGTATTTAGAAAAAATGAGACTGGTCTTTGGTATGGTTAACTAAGTTTTTTGTTCCAACTGCTCTGTGTGCTTAAAAACTCTCCAGTTATCCAACTAGATCTGTGTTCCATCCTTTTCCATATTTCTCTATACCTGGGTTCTTGATCTATCTGGAATTCATCAACTAGACTACTTCCTTGCTCTCTGACTTTTACTTGCATTTGGCCGTTGAGAGCATTGGCAAGAGGTTAGATCTAGGAGGAGATCTGGAGTATTTTCTCTGCGGCCAACTTCTATCCTGGCCAGGGGTTAGTAGTGGCTGTGTTCCTCTAATGAAGGCACTGTTTCTGTCAGTGGCCCTCTTCTATAGCCTTAACTATAGACACAGGTCTATCTGGAATTCCCTTATACTTTCAGGGTTACAAACACTTGCAATTGCTAGCCTCTCAATGTTTCTCTTTCTCATTCTTTTCTGCAGTCCTGACCTCATCCCTCTAAATAGCCCTTTAAGTAAACTCTGCCCAAGAAGCACTTTCTGGATGTACCATCTATTTCCTTTCAGTATTTGATTGATATACTACCAAGATGGTATCTCCTTCTACAGATAAAAAGAGAGTCATCACTGGTTGAACACAGAGTAATCCACCATCTATTATTCAAAACTGGCATATAGGTAGAATGGTTTTAGAATAATTAAACCATTCTCCCAGAGGAAACAACTTTACTAACAAAAGTATGCTTGCTTATGCACAATTTTTTTTTGCCTTTAGTCTTACAATCTTTACTTATTTCCATAAGAAGCTAAGAGCTAAGTAACTGAACTTGTTACTTTTAACTAATTCTTTAAAATTTTATTTTATTCAAGAACTCTACAGGTGCCAACTGTAAGTCAGGCATGGAGTTTATAGTCTAGTGGGAGAAACCAAGACACCTAGCCATTACTTTGTGACTAATTCATTCCCCAAAACTTTGCCATTAGGTACAAAACTGGAAATGAAGAAATGATTTCCATGTATTTTAATGGAAAAGTTATGATTTGTTCCATTTTAATTCAAAGCACATAATTTTCACAGAAAAACATACCAGTTGAACAATTTAAGCAATTTTATATAAGTAATAAAACTTAGTTGAACAAAATAAGTTTATGTATGAAATGTAATATGAAGATTTGTTGTTCTTTCTATAATTTTGTATGAATAGTAAAACTTTGTAAGCTAAAAAATAAAGTTTAGATATAAAAGGTAATGTTATAAAGATTTGTTGTCCTTTCCAAAGTAAGAAGAAAAGGCTAGATCCAACTTGATGACCGGAAGGGAGGAATATGAGGAGCTGCTCTCTGGAAGACAACATGGAGTCAGGTGACCCTCTATCAAACATAATGACTATTAATTGACTATTTAAAGACTTTATTCATTTGATCTTTAGCAGCATTTTTCTTACAGAGGTCTCAACTTTTGAATACTTATGATTTTCTTATATTCAAATAATGTTTGCCAATGTAAAATTCAAGAACAGAGACAATCTTTAGGGAAAAACAAAGATAAAACATGGCAATATGGCAAACACAAAGTAATAATACTCTTTCATACAACATACTGAAGAGCCCTAGAAGATGTTACTTCTCTGATCTTTTAAAGTGTTCATCTGTCTGTTTATCCATCAATCTGTTGATAGACATTTGGGCTGTTGCCATCTTTGACTATTATAGTTAATGCTGCTCTTCAAGTGCATATCGTGATTTGTTTGAGTACTTTATGTTTAAATATTTAATATACCGCCAAATTGTTTTTCAGTGGTGGAACTGATAAAGACATGGTGAAGCCTCCCCACAACTGTTTTTTGTTGGGGAGGGTACCAGGTATTAAACCTAGGGGTGCTTAACCACTGAACTGCTTCCCCAGTGCTTTTTTATTTTTTGTTTTGACAAAGGGTCTCTAAATTTCTTAGGATCTCATTAAATTGCTGACGTTGGCTTTGAACTTGAAACCCTCCTGTCTCAAGTTGTGCTCCACTGTACCCAGCTTTCCCTTGTTCTTTTTTTTTTAAGTCAGTGCATTAAGAAGTCTTATTCCTACCTATTTTATCTGTTTGCAAAGGTATTCTGCATGCCTGGAGTTGGATACCTTGGAATTTTATGGACAGCACAAGTATGAAAATACACAGAATATGAAGAGAAGGACAGCTAGGGAAATATAAAAACAATATTTCCACTATTTCTGCTTCTCTACATAGGATTAGGGAAGAAAGTGGAGGAAGCATTATTTATAGGGGATTTTTGTGAATAAGTAGAATTTTCAAGATAGGTAAGGGAGGGACTGCATAAGCAAGGGATTGCAGATATGAGTGTTGTTTGGACTCATTAATGTACTATTTGTTTATGCTTCTGATAATTAGATAGTAAGATTGCTGCTCCCAAACCCCATTATAACTTTGAAGCTAACCTCTGATATTATATTATTTTATCCATAAATATTCCCTTATGTAATTCTAAAATTAAGGACAGCTGTCATCCATGGGTGCTAAGAAGTTCCAGCACATCACTGGGATGATCCTTTAATGATAAGGAGTTGTCATGTCAAACATTTTCCTTATTGGGATAAATTAGGACATTAGAATGTTGTGGCAAATATTTGCTAATTGTTCACTCCAGCCTTCCCTTCTCTCCCTGGCACTTAGATGTTTTCATAGCTTCCTGTGCCCATTCCCTTAAGTGTGGCCCAAGACCAGGAAATGTGGGCAGGAAATATAGTCACTTCTAAGATTGGCCTATAAAGAAACCTCCTATCAGATCCTTCATGTTCTTTCTTTCATCTTCCTCCTGCTGAATGCAGAGGGTCAGCAGAGAACTCTGAGGCTTTAGAGAATGGAAAGCCCATAAGATGGCAGAGTACTTGTCCCTGAAATATGTTTGCATAGTTAATAACACTCGATTAGACTTGATGTAACTGGGATATAAATAACCATTTATCTGCAAATGCCATATTTCATTCTCCTTTAAAGCTGAGTAATGTTTCTCATATATATATATATATATATATATATATATAATATTTTCTTTTTTATTTTTCTTTTTAAATTTTTAAATTGAGTTTAAAAAAATAAATGACAGCAGAATGCATTACAATTCTTATTACATGTATACAACACAGTTTTTCATCTCTGATTGTATATAAAGTATGTAGACACCAATTCATGTCTTCATACATGTACTTTGGATCCATCACATTCCATCATTCTTGTTAACCCCCTGTCCCCTCCCTTCCCCTCCCATCTAGAGTTCATCTATTCCTCCCATGCGCCCCTCCCTACCCCACTATGAATCAGTCTTCTTATATCAGAAAAAAACATTTGTTTTTTTTCGAATTGGCTAACTTCTCTTACCATTATCTTCTCCAAGGCCATCTATTTACCTGCAAAAGTCATGATTCTATTCTCTTTTATTGCTGAATAAAATTCCATTGTGTATATATACACCACATTTTTTTAATTCATTAATCTACTGAAGGGCATCTAGGTTGCTTCCACAGTTTAGCTATTGTGAATTGTGCTACTATAAGCATGGATGTGGCTGTGTCCCTGTAGTATGCTGTTTTTAAGTCTTTTGGGTATAAAATGAGGAGAGGGATAGCTGGGTCAAACGATGGTTCCATTCCCAGATTTCCAAGGAATCTCCATACTGCTTCCCATATTGGCTGTACCAATTTGCAGTCCCACCAGCAATGTATCAGTGTACCTTTTTCCCCACATTCTTGCCAATGCTTATTGTTGTTTGCCTTCATAATAGCTGCCATTCTGACTGGAGTGAGATGATATCTTAGAGTAGTTTTGATTTGCATTTCTCTAATTGCTAGAGATGATGAACATTTTTTTCATGTATTTGTTGATTGATTGTATAGCCTCTTCTGAGAAGTATCTGTTCAGGTCCTTGGCCCATTTGTTGGTTGGGTTATTTGTTGTTTTGGTGTTTAGCTTTTTGAGTTCTTTATATACACTAGAGATTAGTGCTCTATCTGATGTGTGAGGGGTAAAAATTTGCTCCCAGGATGTAGGTTCTCTGTTCACCTCACAGATTGTTTCTTTTTCTGAGAAGAAACTTTTTAGTTTGAATCCATCCCATTTATTGATTCTTGGTTTTAATACTTGTGCTATAGGAGTCTTATTAAGGAAGTTGGGGCCTAATCCCACATGATGAAGATTAGGGCCTGTTTTTTCTTCTATGAGACGCAGAGTCTCTGGTTTAATTCCTAGGTCCTTGATCCACTTTGAGTTGAGTTTTGTGCATGGTGAGAGATAGGGGTTAGTTGCATTTTGTTGCATATGGATTTCCAGTTTTCCCAACACCATTTATTGAAGATGCTATCTTTTCACCAATGCATGTTTTTGGTATCTTTGTCTAATGTAAGATAATTGTAATTTTGTGGGTTAGTCTCTGTGTCTTCTATTCTGTACTATTGGTCTACCAGTCTGTTTTGGTGCCAATACTATGCTGTTTTTGTTACTCTTTATCTGTAGTATAGTTTAAGGTTTGGTGCCTGCTTCACTCTTCCTGCTAAGGATGACTTTAGCTATTCTGGGTCTCTTATTTTTTTCAGATGAATTTCATGATTGCTTTATCTATTTCTATAAGAAATGCCATTAGGATTTTGATCGGAATTGCATTAAATCTGTATAGTGATTTTGGTAGTATGGTCATTTTGATAATATTAATTCTGCTTATCCAAGAGCAAAGTAGATCTTTCCATCTTCTAAGGTCTTCTTTGATTTCTTTCTTTAGAGTTCTGTAGTTTTCATTATGTAGATCTTTCATCTATTTTATTAAGTTGATTCCCAATTATTTTTTTTGAGGTTATTATAAATGGGGTAGTTTTCTTCATTACCTTCTAACAGGATTTGTCACTGATATACAGAAATGCCTTTGATTTATTGGTGTTGATTTTATATCCTGCTACTTTGCTGAATTCATTTACTAGTTCTAGAAGTTTTCTGGTGGAGCTTTTGGGGTCTTCTAGGTATAGAATCATATCGTCAGCAAATAGTGCTAATTTAAATTCTTATTTTCCTATACATATCCTTTTAATTTCTTTTGTCTGTCTAATTGCTCTGGAAAGTGTTTCAAGAACTATGTTGAATAAAAGTGGTGAAAGGGGGCATCCCTGTCTTATTCCAGTTTTTAGAGGGAATGTCTTTAATTTTTCTCCATTTAGAATGATGTTGGCCTGAGGTATAGTGTAGATAGCCTTTTGAGATATGTTGAGATATGTTCCTGTTATCTCTAGCTTTTCCAGTGTTTCGAACATGTATAGGTGCTGTATTTTGTCAAATGCTTTTTTTGCATTTATTGAGATGATCATATGATTCTTATTTTTGAGTCTATTGATGTGATGAATTACATTTATTGATTTTCATATGTTGAACCAACCTTGCATCCCTGTGTTGAATCCCACTTGATCATGGTGCCAGGTCTTTTTGATATATCTTTGTATTTGATTTGCCAGAATTTTATTGAGAATTTTTGCATCTATGTTCATTAGAGATATTGGTCTAAAGTTTTCTTTCTTTGATGTATCTTTGCCTGGTTTGGGGGATCTGGGTGATATTGGCCTCATAGAATGAGTTTGGAAGTGCTACCTCTTTTTCTCTTTCCTGAAATAAATTGTAGAGTGTTGGTATTAGTCCTTCTTTAAAGGTCTTGTAAAACTCGACTGTGTAACCATCCAGTCCTGGGCTTTTCTTAGTTGGTAAGCTTCTGATGGCGTCTTCTAGGTATAGAATCATCACTTGATATTGGTTTGTTTAAATTGTGTATGTCTTCCTGATTCAATCTGGCCAAATTGTATGACTTAAGAAATTTGTCAGTGTCTTCAATGTCTTCTATTTTATTGGAGTATAAGTTTTCAAAATAATTTCTAATTATCCTTTGTATTTCTATAGTGTCTGTTGTGATATTACGTTTTTCATCACTTATGCTGGTAATTTGAGTGTTCTCTCTCCTTCTCTTTGTTATTGTAGCTAAGGCTGTGTCAATTTTATTTATTTTTTCAAAGAACCAACTTTTTGTTCTGTCAATTTTTTCAGTTGTTTCTTTTGTTTCGATTTTATTGATTTCAGCTCTAATTTTAATTATTTCTTGCCTTCTACTGCTTTTGATGCTGATTTGTTCTTCTTTTTTCTAGGGCTTTGAGATGTGATATGATGTCATTTATTTGTTGACTTTTTCTTCTTTTAAAAATGAACTCCATACAAATGAACTTTCCTCTTAATACTTCTTTCCTAGTGTCCCAGAGATTTCGATATTTTGTGTCTGTGTTCTCATTTACCTCTAAGAATTTTTTAATCTCCTTCTTGATATCTTCTGCAA